ATAATAGTAATATAATAATAATAATATAATAAAGCATTTAAATAAAAAATACATAAAACAATAGAGAAAAGAGCACACACCACCACTAAACAAACAAACAAACAAACAAACAAACAAATAAATAAATAAATAAATAAATAATATACTTACTGTATCATTAACAACTGCAGCACATTCAAGAGGAAGAGATTTTCTTTTAATTGCAGCTGTTAGAAGCTCAACAACATCTTTGCCGACAACAGGGTCGTCTGTATCATGACCTGTAGCGAAGCCCTTCGTCCAGGACTCTAAGACGCTGTTGTTTAAATGCTAAACAAAACAAAGCAAATAAATATATATATATATTATTATTATTATTATTAATTAATCTTCATTCGTCTTAAGGTATCGTCAAAATACACCGTGGGTTCGACAAAAAATAAATGCAACTGTCTCTTTAACTGCCTTCGTCTCTCTCTCTACTTCTGTCTCTCTGTATATATATAATATATAATATATAATACACATAATATGCATATATATGTGCTCATATACATACATATATATATATATATCTGTCTCTCTGTCTCTATCCCTTTATCTGTATATCAATATACATACCCACATGTATACATCTGCATTTATGTATATATATATATATATATGCAACTATATATATATATATATATATATATACAAATTTATATATATGCAACTATATATATGCATATATATATATATATACTTGCATATATATATATGCAATTATATATATGAAAATGTATATATATATATGTATATATATATATATATATATATACGCAAATATATAGTTTGTGCATTACTTACGCTTTGTGCACAAGGAAAGGAGAAGGTGAAGCCAAGTTTCGCCGGTTTATCTTTTAAATTATGTTTGTCTTTGTTCTCTTTCATTAACTCCTCAACACTTCCAGCGAGAACATCAAAGAGCAAAGATGCTGAAGTGTCTCTTGACATCAGATCAATGTCTCCTCCGCATTCATATAAGCTGAACAAAAACAAATAAATAATTTATTATTTATTTATTTATTTATTTATTTATTTATTTATTTATTTATTTATTAATTTATTAATGCAAGAGATGCAAGTAAGAAAGATATAAATTTTCAATCAAAAGTTGTTTATTAAGACAACGGGTTTATTTAAATGTGTAAATAAACAAAATTATATATATTTATATTTATATTTATATTTATATTTATATTTATATTTATATTTAT